TCAGTGTGCATTGCCAATGCAATGCACACCATTGTGATTCGTTTCTCATCCAAGTAATCTCCACTTTGGCATGCTTCTCCTCCTGCATACTTTGTCCTAGAGCTGCCATTGTAATTTATATTTGTAAAGCTCCTGTGCCAAATGATGGCTATGCCTTTTGGTGCCTGTACAACTTATATTTTTGGAAATATTAATGTTTAATAATTTATAATGGGAGTCAATGGAGCCTTGTATTGGTCAAATACTTCCCCTGCTGTATCTACTCAGTACTGCACCATAGTTTAATAATATTTAATCTCAATAGTTCAGTGTTTACAATACTAATATGATTGTATTTTGATGTTTTACTATAATATTGTCCTAATATTGCTTTATTGTTGTAACATTTTTCAATTTAGTGGCAATCATTACATTGGCAATGTGGCCACTTTCTGCACACAGACAAACCAAACCCTGGCCTCATTCTCTACCATAGCTCTAATGGTCTCATGGTTAGTGCCGTGGACTTTCATGTAGGAGATCAGGGTTAGAAACCCAGCAACAGTAACTTTAACAGAAAATCTCTACAAACTTCATTTTGTCACTCAATTACCCTTGTTACAAACACCTGCAGACTTGACAGGCACAAGCTGGTATAGAAAACACATTTGAATTTGGTCACATTTCATTCTGCAAGTCCACTGCTGCAGGCAAAGACATGCTACAAGGCAATGCACACTTGTTTTTTACATTGTAAAAACCCACGTCTAGTTAGGTTTGCATTTGTTCTTTTTCAGATGATGGACTGAACAGAGCTCAGTCTGTGAGATGTTCTGTCACATCTGTGTGGGTTTTGGGTTTTATTAGTTTTCTGTATTTTTGGATTCTTATGTTGCCTCAGACTTGTGTTCTCCTTCAGTTCTGTAAAGAGATAATATACAATACTTCTTGATAATAAATCTCATACTGTTGGAAAGCTTGTTAATGTCTCTTTTAAATGGTGCCACATTTGTAAGGAACATGCGTTTGTGGGATGAGCAGTAGAGCTGAGTGTGTGGGTTGTGCACATGAAATATTTACAGGATCTTCTCTGTCAAACATCTTATTTTGTTGTTGCTGACTCTTGTTTTGAGCTTCTGGTACCTCCAGGTGCTGCTGATCAGGTTCCTGCTATAAGATTTATTGTTACAACAAAGAAATAATCCACCAAACACTAGTTTACTGACATTTTGTGCTAAGTATAGTTTAGTTCCTGGAGGTAATTACATTGTTCCTGGTGTCATTATTCAGTCCTGCTCAGTCAGCGATCAGTAATCAGCCTCCAGCCCAGGTGTTGCCACTCTCCACTCTCCCTCAGTTCCTTTATTCAGTCTCGTCACCACTTCCTCAGCTGTTCATCGTATGGTTTCTACACCATCAGTCTTGGTTTTTCTCAGGTTGTTTCTCTGTGATCCTCTAGTCAGTGTGCATTGCCAATGCAATGCACACTATTGTGATTCATTTCCCATCCAAGTCATCTCAACTTTGCCATGCTTCTCCTCCTGCGTACTTTGTCCTAGAGCTGCCATTGTAATTTATATCTGTAAAGCCCCTGTGCCAAATGATGGCTATGCCTTTTGGTGCCTGTAAAACTTATAGTTTTTGAAATATTAATGTTTAATAAATTATAATGGCAGACAATGGAGCCTTGTATTGGTCCAATACTGCCCCCTGCTGCCTCTACACAATATGGTACTGCACCATAGTTCAATAATATTTAAACTCAGTAGTTCAGTGATTACAATATTAATATGATTGTATTTTGATATTTTACTGTAATACTGTCTTTGTGTTGTCCTATTGCTGTAATATATTGCACTTAAGTGTCAATAATTGCATTAGCAAGGTAAACGTTTTCTGCATACATTCAATCCAATCCCTGGGATCATCCTCTGTCACATCTCCTATAGTCTCATGATGAGCACTGTGGGCTTTCATGTGGGAGATCAGGGTTCAAATCCAGCTAATGTAACTTTAACAAAAAATATCTTCCAACTTCATATTGTCACACAATTACCTTAATTCTAAACACCTGCTCATGTGACAGGCACAAGCTGGTATAGAAAACACATTTGAACTTGGTCAAAGCTCATTCTGCAAGTCCATTGCTGCTGCAATGACATGCTACGTGGCAATGCACACTTGTTTTTACATTGTAAAATCCCATGTCTAGTTCTGTGTGTTTTAGACACCATGTTAGCTTTCAGCTTTTTTTAAATTATTGTTATTAAAGAAATCAGTTTTCAGTTATCCTTTCATGTTCCTCTGTGTTGTCTGCTTTTGGGTTCATAAATCACCAAACTTGATGTGTTCAAAGCCTGAGATATTGTTTTATGTCTGCTTTAAATTCCTGAACAACTTTAATCCTGATGATGCTGTTTGACCTCTAATGTCCTGTGAATAAACCTGTGAGGCCTTCAGAGAACATCTATGTTCAGATAAATCCCACCCAGGTGGGCTCTGTTTACTAATGAGTGTTGCTCTGAGTTTCAGTTAGAGGCTGAATCTAAACACACACCACACTTTCCACGTGAATCATTTGTAAAAACATTTGAATGTTCCATAAACAACAACCAGTGATGAAGACGAGGAAGGTTAAAGGTCACCCTGATCGACAGTCCCATCAGGAATGTTGCTCCCATTTCCCCAACTTTGAAAAAAAAAAAACATCCTTAAAGCCCTCGTCACAGTTCTGTAGAATCAGCAGGAATGGAACAGACAAAATTATTATTATTAGTTTTAATTTGTGGAACATTCTGCTGAAAATTTCTCCATTTTAAAGCTTAGTTGAAAGTGCTTCAAACATATGAAATCACCTAAAACACACCCAGAATGCTCCTGCAACAGCTGTCAAATATGCTTTGAGAATTCAGCCGGAACACAGCTCGAACACTTGAACACAAATATTTTATACTAAGAATGGCCCCAGGTCAGGGTATGAAGTGCTGCTGCGTCGGCAGAGTTACGTCAGGTCTCATTCCAGGGACAATCAGAACGCTCCAACTGCATTCCAGCAGTAATCTGACAACAGTGAAGTGCATTTGAGCGCGACTGCTTAAACATTCAAACAGATTCCAGCGGCAGTCGAGATGCGTTCAAGGTGAATCCAGGACATTCTGCCAGGATTGTGGCCTGGAGGGGGTGCGCCCTGGGGGCCCGGACCTCTGTGCCCTTTCCTGGATCTGCTCTGGTATGGCGGGTGCCGGTGGGGCCCATGAGTTTGTCGCTGCTGGCCCCAGGGGCTGTGCGTGTTGTCGCTGGGGGGACTCTCCCAGTTCTCCCCTATGGTCTGATCTGGGGGGTGGGTGGCAGATCTTCCCGTGTGGGTGCCCCTTGGGGCTCTGCGCTCGGGATCCCTCTCGGGCTTTTGGGCTCTGGTCCTCCCTATGTCTGCCTCGTGTCTTGGGGGTTGGGTCTCGGTCCTCCACAGTCACTGTTAAATATTCCATTGGAGAAATCTTGTATATACACGCATGTTCACAACTGCTCACAAACAGGTGTTCTGATCCGGGGGTTCTGACTGGTCACTGAGTGTGTATATACAGACAATATTTATGAATGTAGGCATGTATGTATGTATATCTTTATATATGTTAATATATATAATATGCTATATATATGTATGGGTATGTGTGTATTTTTATATATGCCCTCCATGTATTTATCCATTTATTTTTCAGGTGAGCGGACAGATGTTGCGTGTGTGGTCCTGTGTTTTGGTGTATGTTTGGTATACTTCTGGTCGCTATTTCGGTCTTTCTATCTTTCTGATTGCTTCTCTCTCTGTTTTTCTCTCTGTCTCTATTTTCTCTTCACTTAAAAAAAGTCACTGATGATGAAGAAATAAATAAACTAAAAAAAGAAAGCAGTCAGGATCCTGTAAGAATGCAGGCAAAACACACTTTGTGTGTCTTTTAATATTTCTCCACCTGTTGTGAACATGAGCAAAAAAAAAAAATTGAGCTACAAGAACAGGACTGAATATTTACAGACAGTGAAAAGATTAAATTAGCACAAAAAAAAAGAGTACAAAAAAGTTACAATATGTTGTAAAAAAAAAAGAAAAACTAAAGTGACTAAAATGAATTAAAAAAGCTTTTTGTCCCAAAAAGTAGCAGAAATAGCAGAAAATATATAGCAGAAGCAGAAAGAGCATGTTTGATGAATTAAGCGGTGAAGCTTAAATGATCACAAAAAGCTGAGTTCAGCTGAATCAAAGCTGAAGTTAGCTGAAAAATAGCCAAAATAAAATTCCTTTTACTCTGACGATTTATCAATTGAAGACAGCTGAAGTTACCAGAAAGCAAAACAATAAAGAATGAATTGTCTGAAAGAAGCTACAAGAAGTATAAAATAGTTGAAATTAGCAGAAGAATAGCTGAAAAGAGCAGAATGACAGCTGAAAAGGCAGAAAAAGCTAAAATTAATAAAAAAAAGAAAAGAAAAGAAACAAAGGAAGCCATTCGGCTACTAGCACAAAAACGCAGAACCAGAACAAAAGATTTATGAACATTATGAAGTATTTTAAGGATGTTGAATACAGCTCCATTCATTTTAATGAAAAAAAAAAAAGGCTAAATGAAGCTTAATATCTCAAAACATACAGATTGCTGAAATAAAAAAGTCATAGCTGGAATGTCGTGAAGGAGCTGAAATTTATGATATAAAAATAGTTGAAATAGCACAAAAATTTTGTAAAAAGTTACAGGCTGAAAGACAAATTGATCTTAATAGAGTGAATGTTTATACTAGGCTACATTTACATTATGACAAACTAAGTAGCAGCCATAAGATGTCATAATTTTGAGATTTTATTTTATAAGTAGCATAAATAGGCTTTTATACATTTGATAATAATTGCATAGTTTGAAGTGGTGATTATTATTATTTTTTGACATTGTGAAAAACATTTTAAATCTTTCAGACTACAATTGTCCATGTTGGGACTTCCTCTGAGGCTGTCCGGTCTTTGAACTGCAGTCGTTCCTTTCCGCCACTAGGGGGCAGTGCTCTTCCAGAGTTGGCGCATGCTCCGTAGCATGTAAACACTAGACATTTGTGTACACGTATTACCGCTGCATGGGCTGGACCCGGGAGTCAATGGGAACGAGCTAAAGTTAACGCTGGCTGTTAGCCTTCAACTAGAAACTCTGCCAGCTTGTGTTGGCTAATATTTATTTGAACACGTTCCGTGAGCCGGCTCTTTTTCCCTCATCGTAGCGGAACTGTACCTTCGTGCATGGGAAACTGGAGACATTTGCTGCGGCTGGCTAAAAACGCTTCAAGGTAAAAGGGATGTTCTTGGTTTTTTTTTTTTTTCTTTCTCGGGCTCTGTCTAATTACTGGAATGGCTGCTAAGTCGTTCAGCAAATGGCTCGAAGTTGTCACAGTCTGAGTTAAAGTGGATACTGTAGCATTGTAGTTAAGTTATATAACAGATTGTTACTTATATCTTACAGATATTTGTTGCATAATAGTTTTGTATTTTAGCTTGTCAGCGGTGTCGCTAGTGTTTTTGTTCAGCTCAACTCTGGATACATAGAAAAAAACAACTTATTACTGAAGAAATTATAACTGCAGTACTTTTAAGGTAAACTTGAATTGTATTTGTTTAGCAAGATCGTTTATTTATGGTGTGTAAATCGTCGACATTTGTAGTTTTCTGGAGGACTTGCACTGTTGAATTTGATGCTACATCCCCATTTTAGGGAGTCATGAAGCAGCTCTTCTCTGGTCGCTCTTCGTGGATCAACATGTTTAGAGATGAGATGATGTGATGGTTTAAAACACAACTTAAGCTACTTTATCGTTGAGCTGCAAAGAAGCAAAAGTTCATCTAAACACTTTAAAAACTCCTCCAAGTACGGATTATTGCTGACTAATGACTAAACTAAAATACAGCTTTTAGATTTTAAGATGATCATCTTATGAGTTGTAGGTGTTTTTGGTCAAACCTTGAAAATAACGTTACGTGCAATCATAAAGGGACATCAATGCATTTGTTGTGATTGTGAATGACTCTCGGTTACGACCACATCAAGTGTATGTGTAAGATGTGCACAACCCACAAACTCAGATCTACTGCTCATCCCACAGATGCCTGTTCCTTACAAATGTGGCCCCATTTAAAAGAGAAATTACCAGGCAATGATTTAAGTTTCATTGCCAAGAAACATTGTTACAAAAAATGAATAATCTACCAATCACTACTGCAGGTGCTAAAGGCCCTATCACACTATAAAGCTTTAGACAACTTATGCCAACTTATAAAAAGTTAACTTCACACAAAGCTTAAGTTTTATTAGTCAGGCCGATGTGAGGAACATTCATTGATTGTTTCCTGAAAGTTTCATTAAAATCTGCCCTGTGCTTCATGACATATTTAGCTAACAAGACAATTTACTTAAAACATGTGTTGGACATCATTCCCTTGTACCACATTGTTAATCCTTAAAACTGACTGACTTTTTATGATTTGTGTAGTTTAAGTTCAGTCAGATGTAGCAGCCTTCTTGAACTGGGTTGACTCCAAATGTTAGTCTGTTGTGTACATAAAACATTTTGACTTCCTGCATGTTTAATTTAAATTTGCCAGTAATTCATCAAACATTTGAATAAGGAATAACTCTTGCAGTTATCAGAGCTAAAAACACAATTTTGGTCAGTATTATTAAAGCTGAAACATGTTTTATTAATTAACTTTTATAACTTGACTTCACTAAGTGTTGGTAAAGTTTAGTTGGAAAGTTAAATGTTTTTTTAAAAGTGGTACACCTCCACCAACAATACGAGTAATGTTTAATGACCAGTTAACATGAATAGATGTATTTTGTAAATCTTTGATCAGTTTGGTTAAAGATGAAGTAGCAGAAAGTATGTTTGCTAGTTAAGACAACATATTGGATTTAATTTCACTTCAGTCTAAAACACTTCTGTTCCTTTTTTTTTGTTTGAATTCAGTCATGGTGCCTAAATTAACACCTTCCACTGCCACATCTGCCTTTCTGTCCTTGGCTACGTTCACACTGCAGGTCTTAATGCTCAGTTCCGATTTTTTTTTGAAAAAACTCCGATCTTTTTGTGTGAACGTTCACATTACATTTTAAATGTGACCTGTATCAGACCCCTGTGTGAACACTACACAGCACTGATGTGACACGCATGCACAGTAAAAGACGTGACGTCTCATCAGCTGGCTTGTTTGTTTACAGAGCTAGCATGGATGCTACATTTTGCACATCGAATCGGAAGTTGTTGTTTAATCAGAGCCGATTAAATAATTATCTGACCTGCTTCTTTAGTTCAGTGTTTATATCTGAACCTGCCTCTGACCGGGATGCTCCAGTGAAGTTTTTTTTTTGAACGAAACTACGAGCTGGAAAAAAGTATTGACCGAGTAGCTAACTTTAGGATCGATACTCTCCATGACCCAGGCTGGACATGTTATTATCATATTATCTACGTGGAAAATGTAAAGTAAAAAGATGAAGCAACTGGACTTGTGTTRTGGAGCTGTAAACACATGGAGCTGCAGATTTAAACAGCGAGACTTGAGGTTAGTGTCTTATCGATCCTTCA